AACCCTCACTTTATACGCCGCCTAAAACCAACCTCCCTCCCTCTGGTTCGAGCCCGTGGAAACAGCTTGTTTTCTGGACCCACCGTTAGATGACCTCGACGACTTAGAATGCGTTCAAGTGTGGTTAACGAGCCGATACAACAACAACAACAAGTTCTGCTTATATTGTATTAATTTTTAGCTAGCTATTGCTCGCAAGTTTTGAAAGGGAAACCCCCAAAATCTAAATTTATGTTTGAAATTGTTTATAAATATAAATTATCGGGGTTTAAAGTGTGCTAATATTTCAAAGGAGACAAAACTGAAAAAAAAAAAATAATAATAAACAAAAAAATTAAAAAAATTCGAGTCTTAACGAAAAAATTGCCTAAACTGGCAACCAGTGGCCCGCGGCTTTATTATCTTAATTATTTGTCGTCTGTGAAGTGAAACGACACACCAAGCTTAATAGTAATGATAATAAATAAATAAATAAACATGTAGAGAAGTACAAAGTGCAAATGAACTTTCGTACATATTTACATCCATTTTACATAGATGTAAATATATATAAATCTACATAGGCTTAAAAAAGATTTAAATGAAAAATTTGGTCACATTGAGAAGCTCGGCTTACCGCGGTTTTTTTCACATTTCCGCGAAACTGGTTTGCACATTAGAAATCTACACACAATTTAATATATGTATATATATATACAAATATATAGACAGATTGCACTCGATTGTGAAATTTTGTTTTGTCTGCGATCAAATAGCAAAATTACAGAGTTGCTTTTATTCAAGCTGTTCTTTTTTCGCCGCACATACGGGAAGATAAACAGACTGCTGCTGCTTTTAAATAAATGTAAACAAATATAATTGCATTTTCCTTTCTTGGTGGGGAAAATAAAATGTACAAGGTTTTTGAAATTTGAGCACATAAAAAGAACCTTGGCGCCTTGTTGAAAAATAAATTTGGAAAACAATCAAAACTGCTGAATAATGGGCACGCTTTGTATTTTATTGGTGTAAATATTAATATAAATTGTAAAAAAAAAAATTTTTTTGTGCTTAAGGGAATTTGAAATTTTGTAAAAAAAAAAAAAAATAAATATTTTGAATTACTTTTTAATTCTGATGAGTTATATTTCTTATTTAGTAATTGCTTATCCTCAGTTAAAAGTTTTATTTAAGCTTATTTTCTATTTTCCTAGTGCACAGCAGGTACGTATGTATGTACACACATACACTGGTGGTCAAAACTAAAGCAACTAAACAACTTTTTCAAATTTTTCGTATAGAACGTTAAGTGAATAATTTGAAATGTTAATGTTTAATAGCTTAACCGTTATTTTTTTTATCACCGCAGCTTATCTATGAGGCATAGATTTTTTTTTTTTTTCTATGCTTCACGGTGCACTTGCAACACTTGGAATCAAGGCGCTTGTTTGCTGGTCGACGTAGAGTGAAATTTTTCACGCCATAACCTTTACTATTCAATTTCGATTCATCAAAAAATAAAATATTTCTGTATTGTGAGGCATTCCAATTGATATGCGCTATAGCAAGCGCTAATATGACACGACGATTTTTAGCTGAGATAAAATTCTTTTTTTGCTGGTTAATGGATAAGTTTTCGGAAATTGTTTTTTGTGTAACACCTTTTTTAAAAACACGAATTATTTTTTCTCTTAACGAACAATTGCACTTATTTCGCGACATTTTTTTTTTTTAATTTTTTGTCAACGTAAATTGTTTGTTCCAACGCGTACCACGGCAACAAAGACTCGAATAAAATGCTTAGCATCGACAAAAATATTTGAAGCAAAACTAATGGTACTATTACAATATTATCGCCTACTTCTCCTGTTTTAAAATTGTTTGGTTAGTTGAGTTGCTTTAGATTTGACCGGCTAATAAGCTTGGCGGACGGAAGACGTTATATTTAAAAAAAAAATGCACATTATTTTTGATGCAACTTTTCCAAATTTTCGCAGACAATACATGAGACAATTTTAGGATTTTTTTTTTTCATTTACCATCAATAATTTTAACATTATGAACCTTAACTGGTATACCTAAATTGCAGCGTTCGGCGTAGAGTTTACTTACGCCAAAGAGTGCTAACGCGTGCTATCCCAAAATAAGAGCGCTAACGTTTTGTCGTTTTCTCTTTCTCTTCAAGTTCGCATTACTTTAGGAATATTTAATAAATTATTTGCATTTATTTCAAACAAGACAATACGAATTTAAGCGGTCGGCAAAAGTATGACTTCGCCTGCTGAATAAACTTTTCAGTGAATATTTACCATTTTATTTTCAAAATACAATCATTTTTGTCAAATTCTTCTTCGCTTTGCTTATTCCCCTTCGTCAGTTTATCTTCCTTTCTTTCAAACTTTTATCCTTCACATCTAACTTCATTATATAACGCGCTGTCATAATTGAAAATTCCTTTTGCTGAAAGTTGACGCCGCGTTATTATGGGCTGTCCCATACAAATCGTATGCCCATGAGGATTTTTGACATTTGTTTAGCGCTCAACGCTCCAATTTAGGGACAGCAGTAAGGCATTTTACTACTTTTGGTTGCCTTAGTTTTGTCCACCAGTGTTTGTAGGTGGATATGCATATAATTAAATTACGATAAACGCTTACATCAATAAACGTTCAATGAATTCTGCAGCAACAGAAAAAAATTCAACCGGCGAATAAATGCATTTACAATTTCATAGCCGCACTTTAAATATTGACAGCAGTTTGCCTTGGCATAAAAACCTCCTTTTCAATTTATTCTATGATTTTTCCATTTTGTTTTGTTTTCTTTCGAAATTTCGACACTCTGTTGCACACAACATGCACATTGCAACAAATGGCAATTACTTTACAAGCAAATGAAATGCTTGGAATTTCTAATATTATATATACATAAATGTATATACATACATTTTCATGTTCTATTATGAAAAACCAAACCAAAGAAAATTAAGCAATAACTAACAGCTGTGTTGTGTTGTTGGTTAAAAATTTAGTTTAGTAGGTTATTATGTGACAACCATATAAGGAAATTGTTAAACTATTACAAGGCGGAATATTACCTATGTATGTACATATGTACATAGGTACATAAATTAAATGCAGCAAACTATTTTTTAGTGCAATTATTTAAAAAAAAAAACCATAACCTATATTCAGAGAAAATTTACATTTAACTTAAACACACACATATATAGATACTTATCAATATATGCATATATGTATATGTACTTATGGGCATAGTAGATATACCGATTATCGTCAGCATGATGACCTGCTCCACTTGTTGCGTTTACAACGATGGCTACACAAACTATTTGCACATTTGCCCACATAATGACGTCATTAAGAAATTTTACTTATACACAAACATATGTATGTATGCAGGGTAAATGGGTAATGCAGGAAACCAACCAAAAATATGCATGTAAATACCCGCATACATAAGTAAATTCATATCCATATACCAAAAACTACGTCACTGGAAGCAATTTACGACTGCGGTTTTCGTTAATAACAATGCAGTTGTAAATTTTTAAAATTATTAAATATTTACTGCACATAAGCACAGAAATATTTAGTTTTTTCATTTAAAAAAATCTAATATGAGGCAAGCTCTGCCTCAAGAAAAATATCAACTCTTAAAGTTATGAAAAAATGCGAAAAATATTCTATGCATAATAATGAAGTTTTTCAAAACCTTCTAGATTTTGTCAGCAAAATACCAAATAAATCTAAATAAATTTGTATCATGGGACACTGTGCTCACACTTGCATTAAATGAAAATTAGAATAACAAAAACAAATTCCGTATACATTGCGCCTATTCGTTTATATAAAACACATGAGAAAGAGCGAGAAAGCATAATAACCTTACGCACAACAGCATTGAAACAGCACCAATTATTTTGTTAGTTTGGAGTGTTTAATTGAAAAAATTATAATAAATTTAAAGCTTCAAACAGGTTTCAATTGTTTTTGATAAGCAAAAGCCACAGTACAAGCTGTGCATACTTACCACAATAGCCATACACATTTGCGTCCGTCTATGCAGAATGGACGTTCAATTTATGGAAATTTCGATGAGTGTAAGGTTCACCAAAAAATATTTTTTTTTATTATTTTAAGTAAATGTAAATATGTTTCTATGGCGAAACCTTTATTTAACACTTGTTAATACACAAACAATTGTTTTACTTAGTAAAATCCAGCAAGTTTAGCAAGTGGTAAGAATGTTGTTAGTTTTATGTCTGAGAAGTTTTCTTAACGACACCGTGGCTTAATGAAAAAGGAATGTTTTTCATCAGTATTTTGACTAAATTAGTCACTGCAGAAATCTATCTTCGCCGAGATACACTGTAAGGGCGTATAACCTCAACTTTTCCCCCAACACAAAGTGGTGTGGAAGATTTATTAAATTTCCGATACTAGAAAAGCCAGGAAACGCTTTGATTTATTAATTTTGCCTCGTTTGATTTGCAAAATTCCGATGAAACGCACACAATGCAAGTACTGATTTTAACAATTTTTCAGCTATTATTGGATAAAAACTCGATATCGCAAAGTATTCATACAAACTCTTGTGAATTTTACCGAAGTACTAAATTTTCTTCAATTTGACATGAAGGAAAAAGTCAAATTCTATATTTGTATTTCTGAAAGTTGACATCTGTTTGCACTTGTTGAACCGAGACAAAAAGTGTTTAAATTTGAAGCGCATGTGTTGCTTTCATTTGCTCCCACTATATGCCGGTTGTACACTTTAGGACAACAGTCACGCAGCTGTTTGATATCGTCAAATGTGACATGTGAATGTGAACGTACCCTTTGGCATATACCAAAGAACGTATATGACATTACGTATAACTTACTTAATACTGTCAAAATTGGTCAATTAAAAATTGAAAAACATTTTTGAAATTTATTTTTTCACATACTTGTATTTAAAAACTTTGAAATTATTGGATAAACTAATATTGATTATTAAAATCAATTGAATTATTATTATTGGATACTTTATATAAATTTACGCTCTTTTTCAAAATACTTCTCAAATAACCTTACGCACATGAAACATAGCTGAAGCAGCTGACCGTGGCTGCCACTATGAAACATAAAAACAGACAGAAAGATCTCATGGATTTTGTATTATAAATTTTGTTAAAGTTAGTGGACTTAAGCAATTGATAGTAATTCTATGTATTTATAAATTTTTTTTATCAAAAAGAAAGTTTGCTAATGGAAAATATACGGAATAAAATTCGCGTCCATCATAACAACACTCGATATGGCAAAGTTTGTGTTTTCTTGCCATCAGCAGAAATACGAACTCTTATTACAAATTGATTTTGTACCGCATCTGTTGGCATCTTTTTATATCTTTGCTGTTGGTGCGAAACGTGGGCTAACGGTGTAGTGTGTGAATTTGTTTATTTTTTATTTAAACAAATTTTCCATCAGTATCAATATGTTTGCATCTGTAAAACATTTACTTTCTAAAAAGCGTATTGTACTAGCAAGCACTTCCCCACGAAGGCATGAACTCATAAAATCAATTGTAAGTTATTATTATTATTATTATTATTATTATTATGTATTTAACGTGTTCTTACATTTTGACGACTAACTTTTTTCGTCTTCCAGGGGGTTGGCGTTGAACTATGTCCATCGGATTTTGAAGAGAATTTGGATTATCGTGATTTTAAAAAGTTCTCAGAATTTGTAGAAGCTACAGCTGCTGGTAAAGCAAAGATGGTGTATGATAGTTTGCATGCCAGTGACCCAACAGCGGATTTATTGGTTATTGGCGCTGATACAATGGTCACTTTAGATAACGAAGTTTATGGAAAACCGAAAGATGCGGCTGATGCTGTGCGAATGTTAACGAAGTGAGTAGACAGACTGGAATTTTTAAGAGAAATACATTTAAAATTTTTTCAATTCCAGAAATAATCCAAATATATACATATTTATGTTCTATTTTTATGCTATTAAATCGAATGTCGTATGTATTTTATTTTATTTTAAATTTATAATTTCCCCTCTATTCAACTCCTATTCAACTGTTTGCCCTATTTTGCTAAATGCTTTCCAGCAAATTAATATATGTATGATGTACATATAAACACATTCTTTCTACGTATAATAAATCTTAATAATAAATGTAATGATATACATACATATTTCAATTACAGTCTCTCTGGCAATTGCAATCGTACACATACTGGCATAGCGATATGCCATAGTAAAGGCACTCGGCTTTTTACAGAAACTACTGATGTATATTTCGGCGATTTGACTAAAGAACAAATTCAAGAGTATGTCGACAGCGGTGAACCACTGTAAGTGTTCTTTTAGTTTAATCTGCATTTTATTATACTAAGAAATAAATAATAATAATAGATTTAAATGAATATTTGTAGTGACAAAGCCGGCGCTTATGGTATACAAGGCATCGGTGGATCTCTAATTGCTAGAATCGAAGGTGATTATTATTGTGTTATGGGTTTGCCAATGCATCGTTTATGCAAAGAAATTTGTGCTTTGTTGGAGGAGTCCGAATATGACTGCACTGCCGAGAAGAATGACAAGAAAGTGTAATTTTCTATTATTTAAGAAAGTAACTAATTAACTAAATGAAACCACATTAAATAGGTACCTCTTTTAACTGCTATGATATTTATTTATATTCATATGTGTGTAAACCAAAGAAATGTATAAGCGAATAGGAATAAATAATTCAACATTTTTAGTTTCGCATTAAAAAACCGCTTGTTTAAAATTAAATTTGTTAACGAAGTTGTATATCTTCAGACTTCACTGCAAAAAAAGCATCTACAAGCAGGATATTTGATATTTTATACATGTATGTACAAACCTGGGACTATCCCCAGGCAACAGATTTTATAAATATTAGGTTTTGCCCCAATAAAGCGACTTATTCAAGAAATTGATCCCCAGGTCAAAATAATAGTACACGAAAGAAAATAAGCTTATTTATATAAGCTCAGGAACATCATATGAAAATATTAGTAATATATAGTGGCTCAAAAATGAACTCGGACACACAATGATGACAAAAAGAATTCGGACATATACATAAGATAGAATTTAAAAATATTATTCAAAGAGAAACAAAATATTCTTATTATTTGGTCGGCAAGTCTTTACCCTTTCTGATAGCATTCCAAGACTTTCTTGGCAGAGATTCAACCAGCTTCTTGCTTGTTAAAGAATTTATTTTCACTCTCTCTTCCAAAATAGTGGCTTCTAGGTCTTTCTTATTTCTAATAACATGTATTTTCAGTTTATTTTCCAAGAGTCGTGCGGTCCTTATTTCAATTGAACATTGTCCACGCTGTCTACCCATGTTTGAACTTTTCACCTTTTTTTCCAAAAAAAAAAACTACTGAAATTTTATAATATACATATGTTTTTTTAAACGAAAACAAACTAATTGTGGGATTCCCCTTTTTAAAATGCCAAGCAACTGGAATATTACCAGATGTCCGACTTCTTTTTTGGCGAAATTCCTAGCATGCCACATGTTAATTTTTTGAAGCAAGGGCAAAGAACGTATATGTATTCATATACGTTCTTTAGAAACAGTAAGACACACATCGCAAATTGGAGAAGAAGCTCGACCGAAATTTGCTTTAGCGGTTATTAAAGCATCGCTTGCGCTTGGCGACTTCAACGCCAGGGTAGGCAAAGAAGGTATCTTTGGTACGAATGTTGGTTAATTCAGCCTTCACGATGAAACATCCCCTAATGGGTTGAAGTCGAAGATCGACTTAGCCGGGGCCCGAAATATGGTTGTCTGTAGTTCTAGATTACAGTACAAAAAGATTGTGATAGATGGAAGACATGTCTCCAGTGTTCTTGACGTGCGCACACTCCGAGGACCCAACATCGACTCGATTAACTATCTATCAGCGGAATACGCACACGCCTCTGGGTATCAATAAACATCCGTCAACAAACACAAGGAATGCTCGACGTCAAAAAGCTGCAATCACAATAGACCGCCGAGAGATTTTCTACTCGGCTTGCACACCTACTTTCTAAGAGGGAAGCACGACATCTCAAATTTACTGCGTACCGCCGCTACGGAAACAATTGGTTTTCGGCAGTGTCAGAAAAAAGCTGGTACGATGAGGAATGTCGAACTGCAGTGAAGAAAAAGCAGAATACCGTGCGGAGTGGGATAGATATCGAGAGCTGAGAAGGGAAGCAAGACGCGTTTGCAGACAAAAAAAGAAAAATGCCAATACGCGTGAGTACGAAGAGCTTGAGAAGCTGGCCGACAAGGGTAATGCTCGAAAATTTTATGAGAAGATATGGGGAATTACGGAAGGTTTCAAGACTGGAGCAAACTCTTGTAGAACCCAGAGAGGTGATCTTAGAGACGGATGCTCAGAGTATACTGAATTTATGGAGGGAACTCTTCTCTAACCTGCTGAGTAGTAGAAAAAATAGAGAATCCGGAAACCCAATCGATGAAGATGGAAAAGACGTTCCATTACTTGATCATGAACCAAGCGGCGGGAGCTGACGGCCTACCGGCAGAACTATTCGAACATAGCGGTGAATGCATTAGTTACTTTGTAGAATATGGTCGGACGATGGAATCCTGATGTGCTCTGCTCAATCCATAAAAGAGGGACCCTACAGTCTGTGCCAATTATCGTGGGATAAGCCTCCTTAATATCGCCTATAAGGTCCTGTCGAGTGTATTGTGTGAAAGACTGAAGCCCACTGTCAACAAACTGATTGGACCTTATCAGTGCGGCTTCAGACCTGGCAAGTCAATCATTGACCAGATATTTACCACGCGAAAAATCTTGGAAAAGACCCGTGAAAAGAAGATCGACACCCACCACCTCCTCGTCGATTTTAAAGCCGCCGTCAACAGCAAGAAACGGAGCTGCCTTTACGCCTCTATGTCATAATTTGGTATCCCCGTAAAACTTATATGGCTGTGTAAACTGACGCGCTAGACAACACCGGAAGCGCGGTCAGAATTGGGAAGGACTTCTCCGAGCCGTTCGGTACCAAACGAGGTTTCAGACAGGGGTTTCTCTTTGTGTTGTGATGGAAAAAATAATACGAGCTGCTTAGTTGAATAGAGAAGGCACAATATTCTATAAGAGTGTAAAACTACTGGCATAAGCCGATGATATTGACATTATCGGCCTCAACAATCGGGTCTTAAGTTCTGCTTTCTCCAGGCTTGATAAAGAAGCTAAGCGAATGGGTCTGGTAGTGAACGAGGACAAGATGAAATATCTCCTGTCATCAAACAAACAGTCATCGCATTCGCGACTTGGCTCCCACTTTGAAGCCGTAGATAATCTCGTCTATCTAGGAATCAGCATTAACACCAACAACAACGTCAGCCTTGAAATTCAACGCAGAATCACCCTTTCCAATAGGTGCTACATTGGACTGAGTAGGCAATTGAAAAGTAAAGTTCTCTCTCGTTGAACGAAAACCAAAATCTACAAGTCCTTTATCATACCCGTTTTACTTATGGCGCAGAAGCGTGGACGATGTCAATAGCTTATGAGCCGGCTTTGGGAGTCTTCAAGAGAAAAGTTTTGCGAATGATTTATGGTTCTTTGCACATTGGCAACGGCGAATAAAGCAGACGATGGAACGATGAGCTGTACGAGCTATACGATTATATTGACATAGTTCAGCGAATGAAAAGTCAGCGGCTACGCAAGCTAGGCCATGTCTTCTGAATGGATGAAAGCACTCCAGCTTTGAAAGTATTCGATGCAGTACCCTCTGGTGGAAGCAGAGGAAGAGGAAGACCTCTACTCCGTTGGAAGGATCAGGTGGAGAGTGACCTGATCTCAGTTGGTATTTCTAACTGGCGCCAAACAGTGCAAAGGGATTAATTCGGCTATAATCGCGAAAGCGGTGCCAACGCCAATAAAGAAGAAGAAGAAGAATCCTTCTGATTGCGATTACTATTGACAGGTAATAAAACTCCTCATAAAATTCCCTCAGCCGTTCGAAGGCAGCTTAGTATAAACTGTATATCCCTCCATTTCTAGAAGAAGTTCAAGACTTAAACCACTAAGCGGAGAAGGAGGTCGGCCGAAACTCTCTTCAGTGGTTATAAAACAGCAATACATAAAATACAATAATACAAGGTTTTCAATTTCATACCTCCCCCTTGGACGACATGTACATGCATGCCTTTGATTGCGATGCGCACTGCCTAAGTGACTGTTGCTGTGGTTGTTGGTGCGGCTGTTGCTGTTTGATCGGCTGGTAATAAAAAATCCGTGACGCGATGGATGCGATTTCAGCTCATCTCGCCGGAGATGTGAAGTGTGAATTTGAATTATATTGTAGTCATCATTGTATTATACGAATTAAGCATAAAAATTTATATTTTCAATTAGCAAAGCCGAGCAACTCTCTGTGTACGCAAATACATAGGAGTACATCACTATCAGCTCAGCTAAACAACCAAACTGAACTGAACTAGAATAAAATAATTTTGCTAATCATTTTTAAGTGTAGAATCGAGATAAGGCTTGTATCTCTATGCCATTCTATTTTTCTACCAAAACAAACAGTTTCGTTCTAAAACTTAAACGCTACAGAACGTCTTATAAACGATCGCGCGCGCCGTGTACTTGCAAACTTCACTGCCAAGCCGTTCACTATACACACACGTTCATCCATACAGAGAAGGGAAATTATACAATGGCGCAACAATTATGGGGCGGACGTTTTGGGGATGCCGAGGGCAAGACTAGCGAGTGTTTGGCGAAATTAAATTGCAGTCTGCCGCTCGATTCGCGTTTCTATGACGAGGATATCGACGGTAGCATAGCCTACGCTGAGGCATTGGCCCGTGCTGGTTTAATTACCGATAAGGAATCAGCCGATATTGGCGCCGCACTCGAGGTGGTGCGCGGCGAATGGAAAGATGCTAGTATAAAGTTTTTGGGTAGCGATGAGGATGTGCATACAGTGAATGAGCGTCGTCTTACCGAGTTGATTGGTGATGTTGGTAAGAAGCTGCATACCGGACGTAGTCGTAATGATCAAGTGATTACCGATATGAAATTATGGTTACGTCGTGGTATACGCGAGACTGTCGCCGATCTGTGTGCTGTTATTGAGGTGACGCTGGAGCAGGCCAAGAAAAATTTGGATGTACTCATGCCGGGCTATACACATTTGCAACGTGCACAACCGGTGTTATTCTCACATTGGATGCTCTCGCATGCATTTGCACTGCAGGCGGATTGTCAGCGTTTGTTGGAGTTGAAGACGCGCGCGAATGTCTTGCCATTGGGTAGTGGCGCTTTGGCGGGCAATCCTTTGGGTGTTGATCGTGTGTGGCTGGCAAAGCGGCTGGGCTTTGCTGGTGTCACGCCGAATAGTATGCATGCGGTGGGTGATCGTGATTTTGTGGGTAAGTGGTGGTGGCAAGCGAGGTTGTTGGTGGTGTTGGGGGAGTTTTAAATTCTATTTTGTGCTTTCTCATAAAGAAGCTCGTATGATGCCGAAGAGCACTTAAGATTAGCAAATGTGTCATATGCAAACAAACACGCTTATCTCGACTTGTTTAAAATGGTTCGACTCGCTTTGACTCTCTTTTTTGTTGCTTTAACCAAAAAATTAGCTTTTATCGCTTTTTATAACTTCGAAGCTACAAGAGAGAGAAATGTTTTGAGGCTTCCATTATATTGATAATAAAAAATATTTATTTATTCACAATAAAAAAATATCAAATTATGTATGTAATAGAAAATAAATATTAATAAAACTAAATTAAAGTAAAATTTAATCATACAAAACAAGTTCAAAAATAAAGTAAACTTAACTTAATATAATAATAAAAAAAAATTAATAAAAACAATATAATTCTTAAAAAATGGCAAAAATATATTAATTAATTAGGTAGGAAAGAATATAAAATAAAAGAAAATAAAATTAACTAAAAATAAATTAAATTAAATAGAACTAAAATAAACGAAATAAAAGTTAAATAAAAATCAAGTGAAATAAAAAATCAAAAGAAGTATAAAATTCAATTAAACCAAATTAAAATAAACAAAACAAAAATAATAATTTAAACAATAATAAATAACCTAAAACTATTTAAAAAGTAAAGGGTTATTAAAAAAGTTAAAAAAAAAATATTTAGAAAATAAAATAAACGTAAATTAAATTAATTTAAATTAATACAATTAAGTGAAGTAAAATTAATATGAAAATGTATAATAAAAAATTAAATAAATATAAATAGAAAAAATGAAATAAAATATTGTAATATAAGTTAAAAACACGTAAATATTAAAATAAAACAAATTACAATAAAAATGAAAATAAGAAAAGAAAACAAAAAAAATTAAAGAATAGGTTGAACAAAATAAATAAATTATAACATAAAAACAAATTAGATTGGATAAAAAAACTTAAATTGAATATTATTAAATTAAGCAACACAATAAAAAACATTTAGAAATGAAATAAAGAAAAATAAAATAAATGAAATATAATAAAAAAATAGATAAGATTAAATTAAATAAATTGAAATAAAATAAAATATAATAAAAAACAAAAGTAAAATAAGCAAAAATTTATATGAAATAACTTAGAAAAATAAAATAACATAAACTAAAACAAAACAAAATAAATTAAAATAAATACAATAAAATGAAAATAAATAAAATACAATAATTTAATGAAAAATAAAATAAACTAAATAAAATAAACTAAAATTATTATAATTTAAATAAAATAAAATACAGCAAATTAAGTTAAAAAAAATAAAATATTATTATTCTTAATTTAAATAAAATTAATTAAAATCAAGTAAAATAAAATAGATTTAAATATATAAAGTAAAGTAAAATAAAAAATAAAAAAAAAGCAAAATAAGGTAAGCCAATATAAAATAAATACAACAAAATGAAACAAATTAAAATAACATTATTTAATATTTAAATAAAATAAAGTGAAATACAATAAATTTAAAAAAATAGAATAAAATAAAACAAAGAAATAAAGAATTTTGTAAAGTAAAACAAAGTAAAGAAAAAATAAGTTGAAATAAAATATATTAAAATAAAATACACACAAAAAAAATTAAAAAAATACAATAAAATAATGAAAAAATAAGTTAAAATATGCAAAATAAACATAAATTAAAATATAAATAAAAAAATTAAATAAAAATAATAAAAAATAATAATAATAATAAATAATAATCAAAATAAAATAAATAAAAACATAAAAAAATAGAGCAAAATGCAATTAAGTAAAATGTAATAAAAGAAAAATAATAATAAATATAATTAAATTTAATAAAAAAATTAAATTATATTAAATTAAAAAATGATAAATTAAAACAAATTAAAATTTGTGATAATAGAATAAAATTAGGCATAAAAACTTCAGAAAAAAAATTTATGATCATAGCCTAAACCAAATCAAAATCTGGGTGGGTATGTTCTGCATTTGAAGGCCCCTGAGCCGTTCCGTTAAAAATCTAAATCGTTGGATTTATATGAAATTTGGTACTTAGATAGCTCTTTGTCTTATGTGCCATTGGGAACACTTTTACTTCCGCGAAGTGGACAGGGCACTGCTGATCTATTAATAAACTTTATTTATGGTTCGATTTATATGATATTTGGAACATATATAGCTCCATAGCTAGATTCCCAGCTTCGGCCGAGTTCATCTTCCAATTTGTGGTTTTACCTTCGAACGGCTGATGGTTTTTTTATGAGGAGCTTTTGATTTTCATGTCAGAATTACACTCGGAGGGGTTGACATTCCCTGTCGAGGGGTGACCGCAATTAGAAAAATTTGACTTAATATTTTTATTTAAACCAATTTTCTATATCCTTCCGAATAATAGATATAATTAGATTTTCTCCAGGCAAGTGGACCTGTGACTGATCTGTTCCAAAAAATCGGGGCTTGGGTTAAATTTGGTTCTTTACCTAGGTTAATAACTGGAAAACTTTTCTTTCTGAAAAGTGAGTCGTGGACTGATCTATTCGAAAAAATCCATTTTAGAATTTGATTGGCACCATATTTTGATGCAAAAAAAAAGCTTTAGATAAAATAAAATAAATAACGTAAACTTTCCTAAGAAATCTTATTAAAACCAATCCTAAAACTCCAAGCAAAGGAAGTAGAAGTCGAGTTATACTAGAAAATAAAATAAAATAAATTAAATTAAATAAAATTGGATAAAAAGAATCAAAAAAATTAATGAAATATAATTAAATAAAATAAAATATTTTGTTTATCTTAATTTTTATAGATTTTTTTTGTTTTGGCGTAGTTTAAGATGGTTTAGACTTGAATAAATTTTTAACTGGTTTCTTCATAGTCGATTTCATCTATTGCTGCTCATTGGCCAGCTTACATCTCTCACGACTCGCCGAGGATTTAATACTCTATGCAACTAAAGAATTTGATTTTATAAAAATCGCCGATGGTTTCTCCACGGGCAGTAGTTTGATGCCACAAAAACGCAATCCCGATAGTTTGGAATTGGTGCGTGGCATTTCCGGCAGTATTTGTGCATCGCTGAGTGGTGAGTAGGGAGTACATGTATATAATAAATTCTGATCATAAACTTATTTATATTTTTTTCTTTGTTTGCTCTTTATACTACAAGGCATCATGATGACCATTAAGGGCACACCATCGACGTACAACAAAGACTTGCAATTCGATAAGCAATATGCCTTCGATGCTTTCGATCGGCTGAAAGATGCTCTAACAGTGATTGGGGGTGTTGTTGGAACTATGGAACTGAATCGAGAACGCATGGAATCGGCACTGAGTCCAGATATGTTAGCTACAGATTGGGTGAGAGATAACTAAAGCGTAATATATTAAAAAAATTTTTTAACTTTTTTCTTTTAATAAAAACTTTACTTGAATTAATTTTCTTAAAGGCCTACTACTTGGTGCGCAAGGGTGTGCCATTCCGTCAAGCCCATCATTACATTGGCGAAGTTGTCGCTTACGCTGAAAAGGCTGGTTTGGAGCTCACCGAAATACCGTTAGGTGAACTGCAGAAAATCTGCAAGCATTTCGATGTGGACATCGTGCAAGTAGCCGATTATGCTATTAACGTGGAGAAATATGATGTGCCCGGCGGCACTGCACCCAAATCGGTGAAGGAGCAAGTAAGGACATTACAGAACTTTGTAAAGGAACTGAAGAAATTGAATTGAGACTAAAGCAATCTATCGAAGTTGAGAAAATAATTTATGGTGAATAAAAATTATTTGTTGACATAAAAGAAAAATTAAATTGAATTAGAAAAAAAAAAACAATTTGAATAAAACTTTTATTTTATTTGACACAATAAACTTGCTAATTAATACAGTTAAAATTTTAGTTTATGTAAATAATATTAATAACACTTTTACACAAGTGTATATATTTAATTATATACGCAGAAATTGTTTACGCTGTCTACACATACACAATCATAAGTAAGTAAGTACGTAGGGATCAATTTTATTTTCAAGCTGTCAACATTTTTTCTTTTTGATTTTTTTGTTTATGTTGCTAAAAAACTACATTTGTATAGCTGAAAGTTAAAAACATAAATAATTCCGTTTTTTGGCGAAAAAAAATATATTTTCTTTTAGGCACTTCATTATTACTAAATCCATTTGTTGGCCATATGCTCGCCGCTCTCCTTTTTCCATTTAATTCACGCTGGGACTGCTTGGCGTATACGTGACGGGATCTTGTTCCATATAACGTTCGGCACGTTCCAATTGTGTATAACCGTTAAGCGGTGAATTAGCTGGTGGCGCCATTTTTCCACCCGAAATTAATACACCCAAACTTTGTTGTAGTTGCCAACGGCGTGCTTCGCGTAACGACTTGTTGCGTCGCAGTGTTTTAGCCAACATAAAGGCGCAAAGTACGCCGAGGATCTGCATGGGATGGAGAAGGGTTCGGAAATGATAATTTCTTATATATAACATACATTTAATAAAATTGTAAATTTTAAGCGTTAACTAATTGCTTTAAAGGCATTAAATTCATGCATTTATGAGGATATAGGCCTTTTTAGGACACTCAAGATACACAACAAGCTCTCTGACCTAGCAAAGAACCAGAATCACTTAGGGCATACGAGTAGTGGACTCATACGTCGAGCGGCTGACTTTTTCGCCGCTTAAAGTAGTTGGAGATGACAAATCATACTGAATAAATAACACAACTTCTTATATTAATTTCATTAACATTTCGTTCCGGGATCAAGCAATAACATTATGTGAAGGGAAAATAAAAATTCCGACTGTCGTGACGGAAGAAAATGTTCAGAAAGTCGAAAAAATAATACTGGCTGATTAAAAAATTAAATCGTGACATAAGGATGAACTTGATAGATTTGGCATGAACATTTGAATATGAAAAAAATAGAGCGCATTGGGCACTCCGAATGCAACACGCCGCTCGACAAGCAACGATTATTGGAGAGTTGAAAAGATCTTTTAAAGTTGTGCCAAGATGATTTGAAGGACGTGGATTTGTCAGAGTCCAAACAGCAGTCGAAGCAGTGTATAAAAGAGGGCCACAGCAAAAATTTGAAGCGGAAAAGTCGACGTCGCAGCATATGGCATACGATTACTTGCCAAAGAGAGCTACAATGAACGGCCAGTACTACCCTAATTTGTTGAGTCCGGTGCGTGAGACGGTCTTACAGTAGAGACGTGGCATCTTATCGTGCGGTGTGCTGTTTCTGCAAGCCAAAGCAGCCGTTAACACTGCTCGGGTTACGAGGGATGCATTAAACGCTTATGGATTTACACAAATTTACCACCCACCCTGCAGCCCAAACTGGGCTTCCAGTGATTTGTTCCTTATGTTTATGCCCCACGGCTAAGTTTCGATAGAATTTTTACTATTAACACTAGATGCATCATTTTGATATATTATTCGTATAAGCTTAACTGGGTTTTTCCTGCTGGTAGCATTCGAACCATTTCGTGTTCTCAAAATTTATATCCTTATTTGTGCTCTTTGTCGAATATTTAAAAAAACCGAAAACTCACACAGACGAAATAAATGTTTCTTTATTCGACTCTGGTTCAAAGCTGCGGTGACAGCTATTATAGGGCAGACTTTCCTAAGGGTCTGTGTCTTGTTATTGAGACTGCAAGTCTATATGAAGTTTTTAACCGGTCACATTTGGGTCAAATCTCCTACGTTATTTTAAGTAAGTTATGGTTTTCCGTCTAATCATTCCAGGTGGACATGAGCTTTGCGTCATACTCGTCAAGTATAACTCCCGAGTTGGCAACTCAACAGATTTTTCGTTACGGAAAAATTACTACGGTCGGTAATCCAGTTTATGAAAATGTCGAGTTCAAAAGTTAGCGTGCTTAAGACTTGCCAACTGTTATCTATTTCCATTGGTGGTGCTTAAGTCAGTTGGGCCGTGTATATGAAGATTTTCTGTAGACTCCCATAGGTTTTCATTGGAGATCAGCCGTCAATTTCTATGCCAATTATTTCCTCTTGGAAGATGCTAGCTAAATTTGAGAGACGCAAAAATGAGGGAGATGTTGGAATCATTGGAGTGTCGTCACCACCCAGATATGCAGCTGTAGACGATAAAAGTATTGTTGTATTCGCGAGTGAAAGCAGATGAAATTTATATAGCAACATTCTCCATGCTACCGAGTGAGTCGCAGGTGACCCATGAATGTAAACTTCGTTTCTATAATCTTACTGTTTATGGCTTTTAAACCATTTATAATATCAACTCATCAACATACTAACAACCTTTAATTCGACTCCGTTTAGTTGGAGTTTAGCGACACCATCCGTAAAGCTCCCCCGCGCAGAGTCTCTATGCTAAGTGGCTTGTTCGTGTCGCTGAGCTGCTGGATTTTAGGATACAGTTAGGAGGGCTTTTAGTACGTCTTATACCAATAACTACTCAAATTGGAAGTAACCGATCTTAAGGAAAAACGGGTATGCATATAATTCTTGTAGCAGATATCAATACCTATCCAAACTGCCTGGTGCTAATGTTAGTGAGATGGGTCTATTCAATTTTTTCAGCTCTGGGATCTGCGATAGGCTACTCGATGCACCGACTCTTAGAAGCAGCAGTCATTATTCATAGTGCCTTATAAATGCCTTAACAGTCATCTTGGATAAAGCGGGCCAAGTCTGAGACACTTGAGGTACCAACAACAAACAACTTGTTCCGCGCTATAATGTTAATCCAAAAACTCACTTTAGAAGCATCAATTGGATGGTTGCTATAATTTATATAGTTAATTTCTAGTATCTGTTCAGTCTCGGTAATAATGCAGTTTCAATGGTATCTTAAAACACCATCTCAAACTCATATTTGTTCAGTAGCACGTATACTCTCTGTTCCAGGGTCTGTCCCAGCGTCCCAGTGTCCCAGTCTCTGCCCAATTCTCACACATAGACAGTCCTTGAAGTCGCCATTTTAGAGTCTCTCTCCGTCCGCGTCTGTGTCTTTCTTACAATTTCTTAACCTCAGTTCCATTTTCAGTCTGAGGTCCACATATTCTTAGAACTCAGTAGTATCAGTCTTTAAATATTCTTTTCCATTATGTTATATTTCTTCTTTACCTGCACAAAAGCTACTGTGGTAGCACCGGTGGCAATTAGCATAGTGCTCTGCGAGATTATAAAGTTCATACGTGGCAAGCAACCGCTATCGAAGGGTTTAAGACAGGAGTCAACATCTTCGAGAGAGAACTCCTCACAGCATGATGATGGCACTTCGATTTCTTCAACATTAGTGTTATTTGCGGATCTCCAGTCCATTGGGCTGTTTACACCACAGCAACCGAGCTGTGACACAAAACACATATGCATTGTAGGAAGATTTTATAAATTTTATAATTTTTGAAATATTTCCTACTTACCGTGGCTTGCATAAAATCGACGCCAACTTGTAAATATTCATTGTCATAATATTGTTGCAAGGACTCGTTCATAGTACGCATCAACATGCCACCTACTTGATTTTGCATTACAAAGGCGGCAATAGCAGCGGCGACTTCCAGAATAAATACCAAGAATAAGCTTACACCATACTATTGTTGCAAGAAAAAAAATACAATGTTTTAACTAAAAATAACGGTTAATATTTAAACTCATTGACAACTTACCAAATTGATTAGCATAACACTCTCCCTAACCGCACCATAAGCACCCAAGGTTGCTACGAGCAACAGAATGAAACCGATAGCGATGAGTAAGGCTGGCGGTGAGGAGAAGTGATCATCGATAAATTGGCTGAAGTCACCGAATATCGCTTGAATTGTTGAACCGACCATGATGAGCAGCACCGCAGTGAGCTGGAAGTGGGAGTAAGACATATAAAAGATTGTTTAAATATAATCTTTGCAAAGGCCATAGGGCTATAATATATAAAAATATATAAAATATCATTTAATGACTCTTAGCATCCATATAAATATATATTTATAAAAGTTCGGGATTTATTCTCGGTAATAATAGTAGCTTTTAGAATAAAAAAATTCTCCAAAAAGAGCAAGGTTACGTTTAAAAATTTTGTTCAAGAAAATTACACAGAAAATTCAGTCGAAATAATAATTCGCCTGTCAGGTAGTTTGTGAAACTTACGTTCCTGCTCAACCAGTGCGCACGAATAGTCAACAGTCAAGTCGGCACCGTTCGCAAGAAGACAACATTTTATGCACTTCTTTGCGCAGAATTTTTTTTCCGATGCGTTTTCCCTCCGCTCAAAGTACTGAAGATTGCGTGGTAGAAAATGAACATTTTATTTTTCTAATCAAGCTCATTTTCACCTCGATGGCCGAGCAAAACTGTCGTTTTGGAGCCTCAGGAAACATACAGGTAATCTTAGAAAAGCTAACACATCCAGAACGAACGACTGCTATCAATGGTAAATTTGTTCTTCGAACATGAGGCAGAAGCTGCCGGAACCGTGAATACTGATGATTACCGTACTGTGCTCAGAGAGTATTTCTTTCTATATATGGAAGGGAAGGACGTGGACGATGTTTGGTTTTAACAGAAACAGTCAACGTCGCACCGTTTTCGAGGATTGCTTCATTATCCCAGGTACGATTTGACTCCTTTGGAGTATTTCTTGTGGAAAGCGGTTAAATAAGCGCTACGCAGAACATGCTTTGCTCAATTAGAATTCAGCTAATTAAAGATAAAATGAGCTCATTCTTCACTTAACCTCCTTTCTTAATAGATTTAGTATTCCAAAGAAATGATTTCTTTACAAAATTTAATAAAACCTCTTGGAGAACTCCTTAAACAGAAGGCATTTATTAGTTTTTGAGTTGTGTGATGACCCATTTAATCTACTTTTTCAGTCCCGGTTCAGATATCTCTTGTAGCTTTTCTTTAAAAAAAATGATCATTTGTGTCAAGAAATTCTGAAAAACTTCCATTTAATGAAGAGATTTTTAAGTTATTTTCTATGGTTTATAAAATTAAGTTATTTATAAAATCAATCGAATAATTTAACCAACGTATTTAAGGCTAAAACACCTTTGAATCGCTTAGAGGTTAGGTTAGGTTAAGCTGAGAGTAGCCCCACATAATACTACCATACGTCAATATTTCTAAAACAGTCGCGTGATAATTTACAACTCAAAAAAAAAAAAAAATACGGCCCGTAGACGAAATGATTCCAGCTTAGCATCCTCCATCCAGTTTCGGAAATATATGTTAGACTAAATTCTTATACTGTTAGCATATGTGGTACTTATGGATAAGTTGTGACTTGCTTTAGTGAGTAAGGTGAGTTACCAACCATTAAAGGTTAAAGGATATCTGTAATTATGAGGCTCAAAGATAGGACTTTCGATCTTTTCAGCAAAGATGTGTCGATTCCTTTCGAATGCCAAATTATGCCAAAAATGGAGTTTCTCTCCCAATTACTCAATTACACATACATTTTTTATGTAGAGTTCAATACTGTTATGAAAAATTTAAGCGTATATTAGAATTTTCTGAAGTCATCAGACATTAATATCAATTTCAAAGAACAAGAAATGAATTCATTACATTGAGTACAAAGAAAATATGCAAGAACCTCTGACTCAGAAGCGGATATTTAATATATAATGGTCATAGCATTTTTTCTTTTTTAAGTATGAGTAAGACGAGTAACGGCCGCATTAGCCGAGTCAAGACGCAAAACCACAAATTGGAGGAGGAGCTCGACGGATAATCGCTTCAAACGTTAGAAAGCGTCAATTATATATTATATATTAACTAATATATTAGTTCAGAGCTGATAATTATCAGATAATATTGGCTTGAATTATATTGAAACGGTTGCAAGCGATTTGTGGGTTAAACGTTTCTGTTGTCATTAGATGTTACGCCTTTCAGATATGACAATCAGGGTTCAAACCTCGCTGTAGAAAAATTTGGTTTTATTTCTGAAGTGTTTAAGCATTCAATTTAAAAAAATTAACTAAAATCTTACTAGTATGATGCTGATGCTTGTGCCTCCCTAGCTGTTCCCTGTTCATGTAAAAATTCTACCTACAGTAAGCCCTTTTCAAAGAAAATATATATAAATTATCATATTAATTAGTATTAAATAAATATTATAGTTTTTTTTTAAAAAGTTGATTTCGGCTTGTTCATTTTTTAACCAGTAAAATTAAATGTGTCTTTTAGAAACACTTTTAACTGAGCTATTTAAAAATGATTATTGGGAAATTCCTTATAATTCATCAAAAAATGTACCTAATATACTAAGCATTTTTCTAGGTAAGATACGCTGCCACGTACATGCTTAGAATTCACATATATTTATGTCAATTAAATAGTGACTGTTAATCAAATAACGACACCTTGCTGATAATATCTTAAAGTATTATTGTTTACTCATTCAATCTCATGCATGGAGGTACATACCTGCAGACAAATAAATATGAAACACAAATACTTGTGCTGATAAGAAGAAAGTTGTAATTTTTCTAAGAATTTGTACTTTAAGCTAAACGAATTTCTGAACTTCAACGTAAATTCTGAATTTTCATAAATGAAGCTCAGTAAAGTAATAAAGAATTATTTGATGAATAGGGTTACAAGTATAATTGTGCGGTAATTTTAATTTATTTCTTTCTTTCATTTTTATTTTTATTCATTTTATATGTTTTTTTTAACAATTTTATTTCTTTTTAACGATTTTAAATCTTTTTTAATTCATTCGTTTTTTAGATTGTTGATTTGATTTTGTTTGGCGGACGCAGTGACGAGTGATCAGCACGGCGTACTGCCATTCGAAAGCCTCGGGTTCAATTCCTAGTACGAACAACATCCAAAAGTTGTAGAAAATTAATTTAAATACAAAATTAAGCTAAATTTTCTAATTGTGGTCGCTACTCGGCAAAAAATGTTAAGCCCTTCGAGTGTATTTCTGACATGAAATAACGTTTCCTTATTAAAAACCATCAGCCGTTCGGAGGCGGCTTAGTATAAACTGTAGGTCCCTTCCTTTGTTGGAAAAACATAAAGACGCAAAACCACAAATTGGCTTCAGCATTTTTATACTATTTAAAATGTATGTATTTACATTTCATTTTATTTGGCTTATTTTATTTTTTATAATATTTTAGTATATATTTATATATATATATATTTTTTATATTTTTTAATACAATATTATATCATTTTATTGTATTTTATTTGGTTTATTTTATTTTCATCAATGTTATTAAATTGTCTTTTTAATTTTTTGAATTTAGCTTAATTAATACTTTTATTTTTATTATTTATTATTTTATTTGATGTAATGCATTTTGTGTTATATTATTATTTTTTTGCTTCAGTTCATAAATTATATTACGAAATGAGTTTTATTTTTATTAAATTTCGTTTTAATTTGTTTTATTTTGTTTGGTTTTTATTTAGTTTATTATATGTTATTTTATTGTAATTTTCAATTTTTATCATTTCGTTTATTTTATGTTATTTTTTAATTTATTATGCGTTACCTTATTCTGTTTCATTTATTTTAATTTTTCTCATGTTACTTTATTTAGCATTATTTTATTCATTTTTATTTGATTTTATTATAAGGTATGGCATGCTCTATATTATGCCGATATTGGGTCTTCTTTTCTCATTACTAAATTTGATGTTTGTAAATATATTATGAATGCTGCTAGCACAAGTTGAAATAATTTTAATTTCATTTTATTTAAATTAGTATTTTTTATTTTATTAATTTTTCAATTTGCAGTATTTTACAATAGTATAATTGTATCAATTAAGCTATCATACACACAATATGTATGTCATTGTTTTTAAAAAACATATTGCTGTTTGATATCTGAGCCTCTGTAGATGCTAAATATTTAGCGGAACATTGGACAAGAAGTGGAATAAGTTTGCTTATAAATTAAATTAATAAATAAAATCTGTATATTATTACAATTGATCGCTTAAAAAAAATATATACTTTTTTTTATATATTTAATTAACTTTTTTATATAATTTTATTCCTTTCCAAGATCTTACTGTATTTAATTTAATTTTTTCATTATTATTACTTTGTTTTAATTTATTTAATTCCATTGATATCAATCTAATTTAATTTTTATTTAATATTTTCTTTATTCTTATATAAGTATTTATTTTGATTTATTTGTCTCCAAATCATTTTACTTTAGTTAATTCTTTTTCGCTTTATATTATTTTGTTGACATATTAATTTTAATTTCAATCTATTTCATTTCATTTTCTTTCCTTTAATTTTTTTTACTTTATTTTAATTAATTTTTGTTTGCTTTGCTTTGCTTCAATTTATTTTAATAAATATCATTTTATTATATTTTTTTAAATTTTCTTTTATTTTATATTTTATTTTGTTTTATTTCTATATTCTTTGATTTTAGTTGGTTTTATTTTAGTTATACTTGTATATTGTTTGGTTACTTCTCTATATCTAACCTAACTTTTTATTTATTTTTTTCTTATTTTACATTTTTCTTTATTTTTGCTTGTCTCTTTCGACTTGCTCATGTAGAATTAACATTTATTTATCCACTTACAAAAAAGAATATGTTAAGGTCAGATATGAGAGTATTTTTCAGAAATCTTCAAACAAAGGTGAATACGTATTATATGTATGTGTAATATAGTAATACACAAGTAAATAATTGAGCAAAGAAATATGAATATATATGTATGAATATAAATATATATATATTAGCAAATATACATATACATATGTTTGTACATAAATAAACACTGTTATCATTTTCTTATCATATTTCTTTATCAGCAACACAATTTAGCAATTTTGAATATAAATATAAACTTTAATGGAAATGAACCAAATTGCTAAAAGCTGGTAAAAATCTGTGTAGGTGAACAAGCGATGACAGAAAGAGGAAAGCAAAATGTGGACAAATCAATGTAACTAGAGTAGCATTAAAATTACTTTGGGTTGCAACGTTTGTAGTGAAACTAAAATTGATTTCAGATTATCATCAAGTTATTTATGGTTAACTCAACATTTTATTTAAATAAGCTACGTTTCAAGTTCAAAAAACTCCAGTTCGAAAATTGACTTTTTAAACGAATAAATATTATTATAGATTTTTGTTTCAACAAAGCCGTATCATTGATAAAGATTTTCAGAAATTCTCAAGACGTCACCTATTGGATTATGGAAAGCTTTTATATTGTATTTCTCCCTATCATTTTTACTAAATATTGTTACTTATGACGTCATGTATTTTATAATGACTAACTCGGAAGAAAACCCTTGAGTGATTTCGCGGGCGAGCTAGTAAAGTAGACAAAACTTCCAAGGGAGTTTTTGTAGAATATCTCTTTAATAGGCTCCTATCAAGAAGGATAGGCTTAACATTGATGACTGGTAAAATACAGTCATAGGGTGTGTAAATTTCAATATTATTACTACAAGTTATTTCAGAGAAGGGGAGAGAGAGAAAGAGAGAGAGAGAGAGAGAGAGAGAGAGAGAGAGAGAGATATAGATTGGGTATGGTTTGGAAATCGCCGATCTATTGTCGCAAAGTATCGCAAGTTAATATTATCTGAGAGAGTGGATTCAGATTCGAAATAAAACCTTTATTTTTATTATACTCTAGGAGATTTTTCAATGAATTTCGAACATATACATTGGCCTAAGGAAAACGCAAATAAAAAAATCTAAAAATATTCCAAATGTCTCAGATTTTGCAAAGGTAGTAAAAATTATATGTTCAAAAGCCATAATAAACTAAATATTTTTCGCAATAAATACTAGTGTAATTACGTTAATGTTTTACGGTCGATACAGTAAATAATCACTGCATACGTACTACTCGTATAAATGTACAAATAACGACAAATACTCCATATAGTCGCTATATATTTGTGTTAAATATATACATACGTATAGCAGGTTGAGTGGTGAGGTGTGCTCGAAACTGCTATCAATAAGTCAATAATGGTGTCTGTAAGTATGCTATATAAGCACTAGTACATATTATTTTCCCAAAGTACCAATGAGACTTGCATATGTATGCGTTACAATGTGACTTAATTTATTATGACTAATTAATCAAAAAATCGATAAAAATTGAACAATAAAAATCCATAATTTCACAAAGTGGCGAAAGTCTTCAGTACTGTCTGATTTCCTTTACATTACATATTGCTACTTTCTAATCATCAACTTACCGCAAACATGAAGCTCACAATAACCAGCATAAATTTTGCACAACGCATGCCGGAATTCAATTGATCGCGCGCCATTTTGAATTTTCGTTTTCGTCTTTCGAGGATCACAGTTAAACACAGTAAGGATACTTCTTTTTCACTTCAATATTTTTATTGGTTTAAATGTGCCTTTTGGCGCTGTAAGAAAGAAAAATTGAAAATAAAAATTTACTTTTCCTTATTTTAACACTTTATGCATTCAACTGTTTTTTTTTTGCCTCTTCACATTTGTGGCAGGATTTAAGTAATAGTGGTGTTTTTCCGTTCTACAATAAATTATTTACAATTTCACTTATGTTGTACACGTTGCTAACGTATATGTTTTGTTGTGGTCATTACCGTTGTTGACCGCAGTTAATAATACATATATATATATCTATATATATATATATATATATTTTCTCATCCACACCGTTTCAAAGTCACTTCAATACTGAATAGGAAAAAGCTCGAGAAATAGTGCAAGCGCTGGTGGAAGGTCTATGCCTGCTTATGACCATATGTTCTTTTCTTAATAAAGGGTTGCACAAAAACCAGTTTGCCTGTAAGATAAAATAAAAGAATAATATGAAATAGAGTGAACTAAAAAAAACCTATATAAAATAAATTAAACTAATTTAAAAAAAAACTAAAATTTATCCTTAAAAAAAATTTAAATAATATTAAATAAAATAAAATAAAATAATATTTAAATTAAAACAAAATAAAATTAAATCAAATAAATTTAATTAAAAAAAGAAAGTTAAAAAAATAAAAAAATAATCATGTAAATTAAATTCATGATATAAAGCACAAGTAAACTAAAATAAAAAGATTATTTTTTTTAATTAAACTAAAATAAAACAAAAGAAAACAAAGTAAAATAAAAAATAAAATAACACAAAATATAAAAAATAAATAAAATATAACAAAATTAAAATAAAATGAAATATATTAAAATATAATAATATAAAATAAAATAAAAGAAAATAATATAATATATAACAAAATAAATTAAATTAAAATAAGATAAAATAAAATTAATTAATGTAAAATTAAAAATATAAAATAAAATGAAACAAAAAAAAATTATGTAAATTGAAATAAAATGATATGAAATAATACAAAAAAAAATAAAATGAACTGAAACAAAATAAAATAAAAAGTTTAAATAATATAAAATACAATATAATAATATAAAATAGAATAAAATAATATAAAATAAAGTAAAATACAATAATATAGAATGAATAAAACAAAATAAAATAAATCGATATAGAAAAAAATTAATTTGAATTGAGGAAAATAAAATAAAATTAAATAAATTAAAATATAATAATGTAAAATCAAATTAAATAATATAAAATAAAACAAAATAAAATTAAAAAAAAAAAATAAAAATAGAATAAAGTAAAATAAAAAAAATTAAATAAAAAAACAATATAAAATAAAATTAAATAGATTAAAATACAATAATATAAAACAAAATAATATCAAATAAAATAAAAATAATAAAAAAACAAAACAAAATAAAATAAATTAAAGTAAGTTAAAATAAAATGAAATAATGTAAATTAAAAAAATTAAATAAAATAAATTTAACCAAAATGAATGAATGAAATTAATTCTAATTTAATTAAAAAGAACAAGGAAAATAAATATTTTAATTGATTATATAATCCTAATTAAAATAAAATATAATAAAATAAACTATAATAATATGGAATTATTTAAAATAAAATTAAATTAAATAAAAAGATACAAGAAAATAAAGCATTTTTTTTTTTAATTTTTGAATTTTTCCAGTAGAGAGAATTTTCATTTGGTTTATTTTGCGAAATATTTGCCTTAAGAACCACCCATTGAGTATATAATGTATTCATAATTACAGTGAAACAGTAACAATTTCCTCAGGCATTCCATCGCTTGCCCTGCATCTTTGCTCGTCAAGCGACACCTTCGATTTCATTTTTCACTGCTTAAGTATACATACATAAATATCAATACAATTGTAGAGTAAGTAGCTTTTGCGGGGTAATCTATTATTTATTTATTTATTTTTTTTTTGTTGGCGCTGCATTCAAATTTGTTCATTGCTTTAGCTGTGTGCTTGTAAGTTAGCGCCTTATCGCTTCCTTTGTTGATCAATTTTTTTTTTTTTGAAGTTTTTCATTTATGAATTTACCTTTGCAAATCGAATATACTCGTAGATGTATATATATATATATATATATATATATATATATATATATATATATATATAGAGTGTGTACAAAGTACTAAATTAGTTCCATGCATGTAAAGGTTGAGTTTGTTATCACAAATAAAAAGCTTCACTGATAAGATAAGATTTTGCAGTAGTTACGCTATGAGTTAAGCGGATGACTGACAGTTTCGTTTCGTCGAGAGTTTCTATGTATGCATAATATGTTACAAAAATACTTTAATTCAATAGAATTTTTATCATATATTTTTATTTTTATTTTTGCTATTTTATGGCGGTCGGCAGTTGCTATGTATTTACGCAGCAATGTCTCTGCTATTACATCGAGAAAATCTAAAATTATAGAGAATGCTCGCTTTCTCACAGTAGGCACATCCGTGGAATATTTAACAGCTGTGCCGGTGTTGAAGATATGATTGTTTTATATAATTTAATTTAAAAAACAGTAAACTTTTTACTTTGCCAATATGTAGCTGATCTGTTTCAAGTAAATCAAACTTGATTTCAGGTCTTTGATATGTTTCCAGGAAACAAAAGTATTCATAGTCAGTCCCTAGTCAACTTTCCAAAAAATTTGACCTGTCAGTAGATTTTGGAGATTTGCGGATCATTAAAAACAATATGGATATGGATTTGAGGTTCTTTCTGACTTAATCCAATCCATTTTTGCTGGATTCAAACTGCTAACCGATGATATGCCTATAAGTTTCGTTTAAATTTATTAAATTAGGGATACTCATCGGGTATTTTAACCGGAGTTCAGAAAAATGCTGTGCTTCATCTAGATAGTCAAAACAAGAGCAGGCTTTTTGACGCTTTTCAACTGCTGCGAATGTGTACATGGATTTGGACTCTGACGATAGCACACAAAGGAAGAGGGTTACAACGATTTTAATGAACACTCTATGCCCCCGAATCGAAGTCTGATTCTTTAAGTTTGCTACTAAAACATAAATAAATAAATACGAAACCGTTACCAACCGGGCAAGAATTTCTATTCATCTCATTCTTTTTTACTAGCGTAGACACCGCTTATGCGATTATAACCAAGTTTGTAACATTGTGTCAATCACATGTTCTATGTTTCTGTTTGAACCTAATTGGAGATACCAAGTACAGACAGATCCTTTTTTACCTGGTCTTTCCAACGGAGAAGACCCCCACTCCTTCATCTGCTTTCACCGGCGGGTACTGCATCGAAAACTTTCAAAGCTAAAGTGTTCTTATCCATCAGGACCACATGATCTAGCCAGCGCACCCGCTGCTTCTTGATTTGCTGAACTATGTCAATGTCGCCGTATATCTCATGCAGCTCATCATTCCATCGCCTGCGGTATTCGCCGTTCCAACTCGTAGAGCACCATAAATTTTACGCAAAACTTTTCACTCAAAAACTCTTAACGCTGATTTACAAGATATTGTTGTTGTTGTTATTGTAGCTGTTCGCTAACCCCACTTACGTACAGGCTTGAACAATCTAAGCCGCCGAGGTCATCTAGTAGGAGGTCCAGGAAACGAGCTGTTTCGACGGGATTATACCAAAGGGAGTGAAGGGTTAGATGAGTCAGTTTAAGGGGGCTTGTGAAGAGGTGATTAGTGTCGTGCGGAGACTCTCTACATGCAAGATCTAGTAAGGGTTGAGACATTTGGGTTAAATGTATGAACATTATTGCATATAAGTGAAGTCGGGCCTAGTTTACGCTTACCTCTGCAAAGGCAAAAAAAAATTTCGAATGGGTGTGGCGCTACCCATGTTTGGTTCTACAAATGAATTCGATATAATGTAATACTTATTAAATTAAATATGGGCGGAATCGAGCAAAAGTCATATCTTTGTCAGACTTTTCATTCCATCCTCGCTTGCCTCAAGATCGCCATCGATGGAAGCGCCATGGTAAGTGTGCTACATTTAATGGAGATAAAAGTCATACCAAAATTTTCTGACAAAGGTACAAGTATTCAGTGTCCGGTTTCGGAGCTTAACCTTTTTTATCTATTTAAATTAAATTTAGCTAATTTTCTTAAATTTTAGGCTAAGTAAAAAGTTCGTTCGGTTTGTATCTAAGAGATGGCTTTGTATTAGTGTTACGTATCGCATCATGTCATGCTATACGGATTGACGGATTGATTGACTCTGAACGTTGTAAGCGCTCGTCAAAGATGGACACCAGTAAAGAGAATATTCGCTATATTTTACAATTTTTGTTCTATCAAAAAAAAAATTATTTTAGTTTATGGGCCCGATACTGTAAACGAACGTGTAGTACAAACGTGGTTTGCTAGGTTCCGTTCCGGTAATTTCGATGTCAAATATGCACCACACGTCGGGAGAAACCAGTGATAAAATCATGGAAATAGTGGAAACAGTCGGTCACATGGGCACTTATTTAATATCCGAGGGACTAAAAAGAAACCAGGAAACCGTTTCGAACCATTTGCATAACCTTGGTTTCAAAAAGAAGCTCGATGTTTGGGTGCCACACGAACTAACGCTAAAAAGCATGATGGATCGAATTTCCATCTGCGAATCGCTGCTGAATCGCAACAAAATCGACCCGTTTCTGAAGCGGATTGTGACTGGCGATGAAAAATGGGTCACTTACGACAACATCGCGCACAAACGGTTGTGGTCAAAGCTCGGGGAAGCGACCCAGACGATGGCCAAGAGCGGATTGACGACCAGAAAGCTTTTGCTGTGTGTTTGGAGGAATTGGCAAAGAATCATCTACTATGAGCTGTTCCTCTATAGCCAAACGCTCAATTCGGCCCTCTATTACCAACAATTGGATCGCTTGAAGGGATGAGTGCTGAAGAGGCCATCTTCGATTAACAGAGGTGGAATTGTGTTCCATCAGGACAACGCCAGGCCACACACGTCTTTGGTGACGCGTCAGAAGCTCTAGGATCTCGGATGGGTTGTCCTAATGCACCCACCTTATAGTCCGGACTTATCACCAAGTGATTACCATCTTTTCCTGTCCATGGAGAATGGTGAGAAGTTGGCCTCAAGAGAAGCCTGTGAAAATTGGGTCTCCGTGTTGTTTGCCAATGGGGTATAATGAAGTTGGCATCTCGTAGGCACTAAGCTTACGAACAAAACAGCGCATATTTGACTTACATCGGACAAATGTATACAAAGTTATCATATTATGAAAAATCAATAAAAAACCGAACCAATATATAAAATGCCATCAGTACCCAGGAAGGCTTCGTCGTG